GGACACCAGGACAAGATGGTATTCACCCAAGAGTTCTGAAGGAACTCACATATGAAAGAACTGCTAAGTGTGGTATGTAACCTATCTTTTAAATCAGCTTCTGTACCATATGACTGAAGGATTGCTAATAAAAAAAGGGTTTCAGAGGTGATCCTGGCAATTACAGGCCAGTAAACCTAACTTCAGTACCAGGTAAATTGATTAAAACTATAGTAAATAACAGAATTATCAGACAACTAGATGAACTGGATTGGTTGGGGAAGAGTCAACACAGCTTTTGAACAGGGAAATCATGCCTCACCAATTTATCAGAATTCTTGGAGGGGGTCAATGAGCATCTGGACAAGGTGTTCCAGTGGAGTGTACTTGGCCTGTCAGAAAGCCTTTGACAAAATCCCTCACCAGAGGTTCTTAAACAAAGTAAGCAGTCCTGGGATAAGAGGGAACGTCCTCTCATGGATCAGTAATTGGTTAAAAGATAGGAAACAAAAGGTAGGAATAAATGGTCAGTTTTCAGAATGGAGAGAGGTAAATAGCGGTATCCTCCAGGGATCTGTACCAGGACCAGTGCTGTTCAACATATTCATAAATGATCTCGAAAAAGGGGTAAACAGTGAGGTGCCAAAATTTGCAGATGGCACAAAATTATTCAAGATAGCTAAATCCAAAGCAGATTGCAAAGAGTTACAAAGGAATTTCACAAAACTGGGTGACTGGGCAACAGAATGGTAGATGAAATTCAGTGTTGATAAATGGAAAGTAATGCACATTGGAAAACATAATCCCAACTATTTATACAAAATGATGGGATCTAAATTAGCTGTTTTCAAGAAACAGATCTTGGAGTTGTTGCCGGCACAGAGTGCCCGAGGAAAGCAACAGCGTGGTTCGTTGCCTGGTGTGCTTCGCGCCAATGAACACACCAGGGTGGAGAAGCAATCAGAGTTTATTTGAGATCTCAAAGCGGTTCAAGGAGACTGGCACGTCTCAGATCAAGCACACCATCATAAGCAGCTTTTCTCTTTTTATACATTTTGCAGCTAAGCTTTTTCCTTCTCCCCTCCTTCCCCACCCCCGTAATAGTTTACATTAAGCAAGTAGCAAGCAATTACATTTAAGCAGTTAAATCATCTTGGCGGCTATAAGTCCAGCTTGTTAGTAACTTCTCTTTGAATTATTATCTTGTCCCTTTCCTTTGATTTGTTATTTTGCCTTTCAGCCAGAA